AAGTGTCGCAGGACTTTTCGACCAACCTAATAACTCGATCCAACTCCAATCTCTTTTTTTTTCTGAGAAATCTGAACTGGTGTGTGATGTACTTCCAGAGCCCAGAGGGCCAAGCGAAGTCCTGGAACCCTCAAACGATTGACGATGTTTCAATGCTGCTCCAAGTGGACCTCTACGGTTTCAGCTTCTCAAATAAATACAAAAAGGTGGGGTGTCAAAAATAATAGATTTCGTGGACTGGACACTCCACTTTACCGTTAGGTCAAGGGTGAGCCAATTTTAACAAGAAACAAACGAAAGATACGGAATATTTGGTAGAGTGCAAGGATGCGGACAGAAATATGTGGGGGGAAACTGGAACGCTAAGAACCCACTCAAAGTACTACACCGCTCAATAGAAAACACAGTGGAAAGGAAAATACTGGAGCCCTGGAAATAAACGGCTACTACCCGAAATAAACAACAGGGACGAACTGTGTGACATTATGCAAGTCATCATGTGATCGTGTCACAAAGTATCCCATATTTGAGGGTATGGTTAGGGTGGGTTCGGCTTTTTCGGGACAGCAGGGTAAGTGGATTGAGTGGGGGAGCAGTCCGTGTGAGTTGTATTTCTAAAGTAGGTATAGTGTCTAACTAAAAACAAGCTAAATAATTTCAGGCCTGAAGAAGGTGCTAGGCACCGAAATATTGCGAATAATTTATTTCGAAAAACTTTTGGGACTTGTGATGTCTTTTGAGTTTTTTGGAATAAACATTGTCTTGTTCACATTTTTACCACCCATTCAGATGAAATGAGACTCCGGGACAGCACAATAATCCGAAAACGGAAGATAGTGAATTTACGAACTTTTCCAAACAAAGTGTCACACTAACATGCACCAGCCTTACACCTTTCAGCGCCTCAGCATGGGAGTCGAATGCATGGCGCACACAGAAATGACCAGTCGATGGCAAACAATTTGATCGCTCCTTGCATTTAACAAGAACATGGGGGCTTGGAGACGTAGTAATTTGTCTAAACGAGTTTGCACAGAAAGAATGAACTTTCATATGCCAGAAACCCGTCCTAGATATCTGAAAACTGTGGACTGCCGGTCTTTGAAAAAGAATGAATCTTTCGGAAAACAGAGATATTCTGAATTCCAATCATATTTTGGCTTCGCAAACAATGTGCATTGGAAAAGTGATGGTCGTTCAGAGCTTGGAAACCCCCATGCTGCATTTTCACTTCTCTGATCAGAAACTCAACAAAGAGTTATCTCAGATTTCTGAGGGAAAAATTCGGAAAAAGTTCAAAACAGCCATTGAAATTGTATTGGAAGCGATCACTCGTGGAATTTGCGCTTCATATTGCTGTTTTCTATTTAACAAATTTTGGGCTCATAAGAAAATTACAGTTTTGCAAAGAGGAGGGTGCCCTCCATTCAAAAAAGGTGCCCGAAAATAGTCTGCTGTCACATACGATAGGAACGTGGGGTCCTGAACCCCATTCTTATTGGTGGGCGCGGTGATAGTGGAACTATGAGCAGAGTTTCTGGCCAAGTAGAAGTCGTACTGAACCGTCCTGTCACCTTTCCTATGATATACTGCGTTTTCGGAATGGCCTTCAGTTTACGCACCGACTCACATAAATCTCTCCCATCGACTCGGAACAGTGTCTCTGCGGTGGTCTTTTGTTTAGTGACTAATAAAAACCAACTGAAGCCACCCATAAATCAGGTGGGCGCGGTGATAGTGGAACTATGAGCAGAGTTTCTGGCCAAGTAATCGCAATTAATCGATGCATAACAGCGCATTATATGATAGAAGTGCGAAAAGCAGGATTGTCTTCCGAATCCATTCATCCATTCATCTGCGTTAAATTCACGCAAACGACGCATAGCACCCAGCTCACAAGTCTTATAAGAAAAAACTCGCCTATAGTATGTGTTTAGTACACAATATAACGCCAATCGGACAAAACTGTCAAAATGATCATGATTTTTCGAGTGATTTTGACGTATTGTTTTTATGACTGGTTGGTCGTTTCGTGGTCACGAGCGTAGATCCCAGTTTCATCCAATTATTTGCCGTTTTATGACAGCATCATAATCCCGTCCCTTTATAGTTTTCAAAAAAATCATCCCTTTATAGTTTTCAAAGCGGGCCCATTTGAAAAATTAAAAATGGAATACTCGAAACCTGATTATGAGACGTGTCTGAGATCGACATTATTTTGAATTATTCCATACAATACGACAAAGATATTAAGAAGGTCCTCAACGGTTGATAGATGATTTTCCAAGCTCAAGGAGGAAGTAACTGCCATTCGTAGGCTGCGTTCATACTTTGCTGCATCTTTTCTGGTCGCTGACGCTGTTCAGCGACTAGAAAAGCATAGGTATTGATCTAGCGTCTGCCAGCGTCCATCAGCGTCTCGAAGGTTAGAACAGTACAGGTCTCGATCCAGTGTCTGCCATCGTCTGCCAGCGTCCATCAGTGGACCACCACAAAGTATGGAGAAGTAGGAGGGTAGCAAACAGCTGATTACGGGTCGTGGAATTGTGGGAAGCGCACCCCACAACTGCTAATGAATTGCACAATTCAATGGGCGGTGTTGTGCAACTGCGCAAGTTGCATGAGCCGCAATTTTACGACACCTAATCCAGCTGTTTGCTACCCTCCTACTTTCGCATACTCTCTACTGTCGCCGGTGAAGGCAGGTGGACGCTGGTAGACGCTGGCACGCCTGATCGATACCTATATTTTCCTTGCGTCAGGCGCTGGTGGACGTTAGATCGATATATACTTCCTAGTCGCTGACGCTGCCGAACGCCCGAATTGCTTGTGAACGCTGCCGCAAAGTATGAACGCGGCCTTAGGATATTGAGGCGAGGTGTTGAGATGTTCTCTCCTCATTTAAACATGTCTGCTGATGAAATCTGTACGTGAATCAAGCCGGAAACAATGAAAGCGATGGGAAGGAATAACGCGAAGATTCTGTCAAAAAAATATGGAGCACTTAACTCAATATTCTCCGTGCTCGTCTTTCTTAGGAGCTGGGCGTTAACGTCTGAAGAAACTGGGGAACTCGAAATCGCTTCCTGAGTCGTGTGGAACAGTGGCTTTTTTGGCAGGGTTTTGATCTTTTCAACTCGCTTTTTGCTTCGTGTTTCTACTTCATAGTAACAGGCTACCACTTCAGACCGAGTACCAAATCGTCCCTTTTGCTTTAAAGCAATATATGTAGCTTGTAAAAATGTCTGTCGATATGCTCCTATGCCTTCCAAGGAGACCATCATACCGAAACGTCAGGCTGATTCAAAAACCGCCATAAAAACCGGTTCGATACACAAAAGTGTTGAACACATCATCCACGCAACCATTCACTCGCCGGGGCACAGTAGTAGGTCGAGGTAGTGGCTGCTTGACTTGAGATCTATGGCGACTGATGAGTCTTTAGACGATGATAACGAACCTGCCATCCATATCTTTGAGAAAGACGTTACGCATTGTTTTTCGAGATGAAAATTACTCTCAACACAAATTTCAGGAGTAAGGTTGCTTTCATGCAGCATCGTAACTGAGCGATTCAATGGTTGCCCTGTGTGCAAGTCAATTGTATTAGGCTGTCCGGAAAGTTCTCAGCGTTTTGTGTTACTATTTTTTGTACATTCATTGCTGATTAAAAACTCATTCTCCCTTGCGTCTCAGTAGTACATCCTGAAGAGAATTCTTTGCGCTATCTGATGGTATAATTGCCGTTTCACCATTGCTTGATAAACCCCTTTTT